GTACTTGAGAAAGTCTCTGCATGAATGGAGTAAGATCTTTGATGAGCATGTGCTGAGGGTTGCTAGGGTCCCAGAGCACACTTCCTAACCCAGGCCTAACAGCTGTGCACTTGGTACAGCAGACTCAGTTATGACCATCAGGTTTATTAATAAATGGATGCTCACACTAAAAAAACGAGGAGTCTGGGCTGATGCACTGCAGGGGAATTGCAAGGTTTTCTCTTCAGTCAAGAAGACAAAAGAGGCCCTGCTCTTGTACAGGCTGGTCATTTTCTTTCTTTTCATGAAAAGCATATGCAGTTACCATCATTTCAAAATTGTGGTTTTTAGTCTTTTTAGTTTGTATATATTGCTAGCCTTAGGTACCTATACTTATCTATGTTTAGTCTTATTGTATGTTTTACATTATATCATATAAATTTAATAATTTATATATATTCTTTGAGCATGTTTTTTATTTATATAATTTAGTGTTTTTAACTATTGTGTGTCACCCTCCTTCAATAAAGCTTGATTGATTGATGTTGTTATTACATATCATATCTTTAGGGGCTTCAGACCTCTTATTCCCAGAGAAGAACACAACATTCAGCTTTTTGCAAAGAAGAATGTAGATGACCTATTAACACGTTGGAGATCACTGCACATTTTGAAGATCACAGAGAAGAAACCAAATAATTCAGTTGCTGGTCACTGGTCCTTTTTAAAGTATGCGGGGTTTTTTGCTGTTGGTGGACTTGTTGTTAAGTCCAAGATTTCTCATGCCAACTGTAGCTTAAAACTGAGCCATAAATCAGCATCACATCACAATGATAACAAACAAGAAAATGAAAATAAGCAACCAAAGTTCAAATTCAGAGAATTTTGGAAATTCCTTTGGCCTGATATTTGGCTTCTTCTCTTAGCAAGTTTGAGTGCCTTCGCTGTTGCCATGGTAAACATTGAACTACCAATGATGCTTGGAAACTTAGTCAATGCTGTATCAAGTTTGTCAAGTGGTCATCATGCAAATGACTTTTTTCAGGTGTTAAAAGAGCCTGCCTTGAAACTAATCTCAATTTATGGAGCTCAGGCAATCCTTACATTTGCTTACATTTCATTTTTGTCTTGTCTTGGTGAGAGGTTAGCAGAAAGAATGCGAAATGCTCTGTTTGCATCACTTGTACGTCAAGACATTGCTTTCTTTGATAGTCATAAAACTGGAGAACTTGTTAACAGGTAAGTTAAAATTGCTTTTATTTTCGTAGTTACTAAAACAAGGAATGACCTACAATGACCTACAATGATCTACAATGTTCTACAATGACCTACAATTACCTACAATGATCTACAATGACCTACAATGACCTACAATGATCTACAATGACCTACAATGAGCTACTATGACCGAACGTGTAAGGAGCTAAAATGAAGATTTTAGAAAAAGACAAAAAAAAAAAGATCAGGGGATGTATGTCATAGTTACTAAAAAAAGGAATAACCTACAATGGCCTACAATGACCTACAATGATCTACGATGAGCTACTACGAGCTACAATGAGCTACTAGGAGCCAGAATGAGTTAAAATGAGCCCTGCAATGAGCTACAAAATGACAGACAATGATGTTTGTCGTGTGTCACGCTTGGACGTGACACTAGGCTTATAGTATTAAATTGCCAAGCACATTTTGAAAAGGCAAAACAAAAATTGTGCCTGATCTCAGGTAACTTGATAAAGTTGAAAATAGATTATTGCAATCGCGTTGACGGAAGTCATGCAGGCACTCCCTTATTTGGCCTAGATGGGTATGGGCCACTGAGCAGGATATGGATTTTACTATTTAGCGTTAGAAACAGAGCATCCTTTTGGACTGAAAGCCATTTAAAGGGTCTTATGATGTCTTATACAGGCCAAGGTACTTAAAAAAAAATGAACAATTTTTCTTTTGTACAGGGTCAGAATTTGAAGCGGTCAGTATAAAACATGGACTGCGGACTGCGGACTGCGGACTGCGGACTGGGTATAAAATACGGACTAGGTATAAAATGCGGACTCCGGACTGAGTATAAAACACGGACTGGGTATAAAATTCGGACTACGGACTATGTAGATAAAAACAGCTTTAGAAAGGTAAAACTGAGAGAAATGGAAAGCGGACTAGCAAAAACAGTAGTCCCAGCTTTAACATTCCCTTGGCTGTTCACGCAGTCTATTCTTCCCACGGAGAAGGAAGGTTATGCCAGTATTCAAGGCAACTGAAATTTAAATCTGAGTTTTATAAAAAGAAGGAGTTAGAAGAGATTTCAATTTGCAGTTTTAAACCAATAAGAAGCACCGAATTAAAAAAAATAGTATTGCTGTTAGCCAGATCTTATCAAATGCCACAATTCCCTATGAGGACTGAATGAAGAACTCAGACGAGAAGGTCAATGTAGGGCATTCCGCGATGCACAAAAGCGGTATTTAGAGGGGAGGGCAAGGGGGGAGGGATTACTCACATACGTGAATAATAACCGAAATGAGTCATCCAACGTTATATTCCGAGCGATGATTATGATGACATGATTTACACCCTGCTCCTTATCCCCGGAGGGGGGCACTACTGGGAATTCTTGGTGGGGGGTGGTGCCCGGTTCTCCGAATCCTGATCTTATTTGCAGACCAAAAAATGTTATTTTCCACACCCATTTTCAGACCAGATCTCTAAAATCCATACCCATTTTCGGACCTGGCCTAATTTAGCCTCTTCCAGGCTCTCAGATAGTTGGGGAGACTTCCCAGTTTTTTCCCATTTTATTTTCATGTTCGCGCTTTCTCAATTCAGCGGACCCAGCTATCTCGAGCCTGGAACAGGTTTGGTATAATTAGGCAGAAATTATGTCATCATTACCAAGTTATAGCGGAAACAAAAAAAATTCTCCAAATGCATTTCGAATTCGCACATTTCTATTTTGTTCTTATTCATTTGGAATTGAAACGATAAATATGTCCATTCATTTATGCTCCCGTAGTTCCCTCGAAAAACCATACCCGATTCCAGACCAAAATGGGCAAAGTGTTTTCAGACCAAAAAGGCCCAAGACCCCTACCCTTCCCTTATATAAGGGAGTACCCCCCCCCCTGATCCTGACCCCTTTCATGATTGTTGGAGACCAAGACAAGGTCTAAGAATGGTTGAAGAAAATAGCATTTTGATCCCGCTCATGATTCAGAGATTCGGGCAGCACACCTCCACCAAGAATTTATAGGAGTATTTGCAACTTTAACTCACGTGTCTTGCTATTTAGCGATCTTTTGATCTTATTTTTCCTTACCTAGAACCAATTTGCACCGTTTCTACCAAAGTAGTCCGTAGTCCGTATTTTATACCCAGTCCGCAGTCCGCAGTCCGCGTTTTATACCTAGTCCGTGTTTTATACCCAGTCCATATTTTCCAGTCCGCGTTTTATACCTAGTCCGTATTTTATACTCAGTCCGCAGTCCATAGACCACAGTCCGCAGTCCATGTTTTATTCTGACCGGAATTTGAAGGCCTCCTTTGTTCATCTCTATTCTTACGTCCCTTGAAGATCCCCCGGATCGACTGTTGGGATGACTGTGTTTGTTCAATTTGTTTGAAAAAAAGACAAGACAAAATAAAACTTATGCAAAAGGTTGCAAGGGATGGTTTTATTACATTGTAAATTTATCTCCAAGCGTAAATAATTAGAGATGCTGTCATCGTTAAATGGGCTGTCATGCAGTAGACTAAACGCGTTACGCTTACGCACACATGTCCCCTGATCTTTTTTTTTTGTCTTTTTCTAAAATCTTCATTTTAGCTCATTACAGGGATTACGCGTTCGGTCATAGTAGCTCATTGTAGGTCATTGTAGGTCATTT